AGAGAAAAAGCCACCTAGATTGTGTTCCCTCCCTGGCAGCACGGAAGCCCCGCATGCCTGCTCCGTTCCGCACAGACCCGGGTGTGCTCTGGGACCCTCTCCCAGGAGGCGGGAGGCTACTCACTGGTGGAAAGGGAGCGGCAGAGGTTCCAGGGCTGACACCGGCATCAGGCCCCGCTGACCCGTCACCAGGGACATGCCTTCGCATTCGGACCCGCCGTCAGCTGTTTTCACCGAGATCAGCTCGCCCTCGCCGAGTGTCAGACACTCGCCTTCCTGCTCAGCTGGCTGGGCCACGGCACACGTGGCTCTGCAGAAGAAGTGGCCTGCAGATAATGAGAAAAGCCCTTCCGAGGAGTCGCGGGAAGCGGAAAGGGGTTATCACACTATGTCACGTCTCTCTCCATGGCCCAGACATGTCTCTTTCTGGGAGAAAACCACACAGTTGGTCAAGGGGGGGAGAGGCTACTGCAGGAGATCCTTGTGATCCCAGAAAACTGGTATCAGAAAGAAAGCCACTAAGAGGAATTCACTTAAAACAGACACTGAAAGCCTGGCCGGTGTGGCTTGGTTGGTTGGTATCCTCCTATGTGCTGAAAGGTTGCCTGTTTAATTCCCAGTCAGGGCATGTGCCCAGGTTTCTGGCTTGATCCCCAATAGGGGGTGTGCAGGAGACAGCCAGTCCATGCGTCCCTCTAACATCAATTTTTTTCTCTCTCTCCCTCTCCCTTCCTCTATATATAGAAATCAATAAAAATATTTAAATTTAAAAAATAGAAACTGAAAGTTCTGAATAATTCATGAGACTAAGGTTTAATTGGCACTTCACCTTGAAAAAGAATGAAACAAAAACTTATGAAAATATATTTAACAGAACTTCAGTTATAACTACAACCTCACATTTAATCTTAAGACCAGCATAGAATAAATTATGTTGATTCGAATGAATACAATTTCTCCAAGTAGGTTTTATAGTACCACAATATGACATTCTTTCCTTCTTATAGGATTTGTGCAATGTAATCATAAAGGGAATCATTTTGCAAAAGATTCTATGCAAATCTGGCTCTCAATGTCTCTATGACATCATCACTTATCGACAGGTCAGGTGGAGCCTTGATCCGACCCTTCCTTGCAAACAGATTGGTGGGCGCTTCAAGCAGTTTCTCAACATCCCTTTCTTCGATCTCATGAAAGCTTTTAGGTTTTGCAAGATTTGCAATTTATTTTACAATCAAATTCTAGCATACGTTTAGAAAAGTGATTCTCAATCTTGGATGCACATTGGAATTACCTGGGCAAGTTTCAAGCTATACCAAAGCCTAGGCCCCCACCTCAGGAAATGTCACTAGCCTGGGCGGAGTCCTGGCAAGGGCATCTTCTAAAAACCCCCCAAGATGCCCTGACTCATGTGGCTCAGTTGGTTGGGCATCATCCTGTGCACTGGTTAGATTCCTTGTTAGGGCACAAACCTGAGTTCGGGCTCAATCCCCAGGAGGGGATGTGCAGGAGCAGCCCACTGATGCTCGCTCTCACATCGATGTTTCTCTCTCCCTCTCCCTTCTTCTCTCTAAAAATCAATATAATTATCTATATATATAAAAGGCCAAGTGACCATCCGACCATCTGGTACATATGACGTACACTGACCATCAGGGGACAGATGCTCAATGTAGGAGCTGCCGAGCTGCCGTGACTTGGCAGTGGCAGTTCTCGGGTGACACACTCCGGAACCAGAAAGGAGGGAGCCTGATTCCTCACGGGCCGCAGGACTCCACGTTCGGCCGTGGGTTATGTTGTTGCTGGGGCACTGTTGGCCCCGAAGCTGCGGTGACTTGGTAGTGGTGGTTTTTAAACTTCATAATATTGCACCTAAAGCTAAAATAGATGTTGCTAAAACCCAAAATGAAACAATAGGAAATTTCCTTTCAATGTGCATGAATCCATGCACTGGGCCGCTAGTTTAAAAGTAATAAAATAAGATAAAAACTCCCCAAGTGGTTCCAACATGAGAGAATCAGTGAGACTGGCCAGCAAAGCTGCTCATGTGATGTCAACATTAAACTGAGAGAGATATTTGGGGTAATATTATAATATTATTCCTATAATAATATTATAGGATTCATTTGTAAATATTACCACATTTTAATGGTTTTTGCCTCCTTTGTAACCTAATCATTTCAGGGACTTTGATAATAAATATCCAGATAAGAACCCCCATCCCTACTCCCTGCTCACCTTCCTGTGTCAGGAGTGCCAAGAATATTGTTTCCAGGTGTTTATCATCTACGGACACTTGGACCTCTGTGTCCTCCACCAATCCGCAGTTGAGCCAGTACTTGTGGTCGAAGAGAAGATGCTCCAGACACGCAGACACGTAGCCTAGGAAGACAAGGCCACAAGGGTCCTGAGCAACATGACTGCGGCCGCCAGCTGAGCACAGAGGAGTGTGAGCGAGCCCCTCCTCAAGGTCCCTCCCAGGCTCTGGTCCCCAACTCGTCCCCATTTCACTGGAATTGGAAAAGCATACGTTGGTAGCTTAGCAATTTCTAGAATGAATTTATTCTTATCAGCATCTGTTAGGAAATACAAGTCATTTTAAATGATATTTATGATTTTCAACACAGTTATGGGTCTCCATAAATGCATAGTGAGATGGCCAAACCCCATTACCTTTTTCTAATGTAGCCACGGAGGAATCTCCAAGATGACAATGCTGAGCCTGGGGGTTCCTGGCTCCCCCTTCAAATTCCCCTGAGCTGAGGCTCACATTCCTGTCCCCCTGGAGATACAGTGGCTGGGGTGGGGGGTTCTCCATGGCCCACAAAAGAGCCAGGACTTTTTCAATGTCCCCACTCTGATCCTCCGCCTCATGCATGCCCAGTAAGCTCTCCTTTGTTAAAATCCAACCAGAAACCATGCAAATTGCAGAATCCTAACAATTATGGATAGTACTTTAAGGAGCTACTCTGATCTTACTCAAGACCAGCTCCTTTTTGTCAACCACCAAGTTCACATCTATCTCAGCACTTTGAATTTAGTCTCGACCAATAACTACTGCCAGTTGACTGGCTGTCTAATAAAGAAGTCTCTCCCTGAATACAAAGCAGTGCTGTGTTCGGCATTTTAGAGTAACAGTTAACATTGGCTTTAGGTTTAGTTCAGGCATTTTGTGATATTTCAAAATTAACATCCATGTTAGGGCTCTACCTCTTTTAATGCTCTGAGCCAAACCAATTCCTTCTCGTCAAGCCCTGCAGCGGGGCAGCTCTGTGGCGTGGGCGCTCGTCCCCCCCGCCTGCTCCCTGCCGTACCTAAGCTCAGGTAGGTGGAGAACTTCCAGATTTCCTCCACGGTCTTGAAAGTGATGAGGAACTGGGCCTGCTGGGACTGGATGCCCACCAACCTGGCTGAGAGGTCCTGAACAAAGAGAACGGTGAGTCAGCGGGCGACAGTGTCCTGTTAACAAGCCCACAGGAGCACAAAATGCTTTGTGTCAGTTTCTTAATCATGGCACTGAATTTTACATCAAACACACACACAAAGGAAAACAACCTGAATGTCCATCAGAAGAGACTGGTGAAAATGAATTATGGTTCATCCAGACAATGGGATTTGTGATGTCACGCAGCCAAGAAAGAAGAGACACACTCTGTGCACTGATAACAGCCTCCGAATATACCCTGCTAAATGGGACAATGGCAGTGACCAAGAGAAACAACACCAGGGTGTAGAACCAAGTGCAGCGAATGCTACCTGTTGTGTAAATGAAATTTTTTAAAGAGGGGGTGGGGGGGTAGGGGATATAAATCAAAGATGGCACCTTTTATTATGAATCTATGTCTACTGATATTTTTATAAAGTTGGCCAACTACCTTCCAAAAAGGCTGATCTTACTGTCACGTGTTCACAAGCAGAGGGAGAGCGGACTGGCAAGCTCCCCCCACCCCCTTTTAATACCTGAGTCACTGACCAAACTTGGTTTTCCCCTGGAATCTGACTCTGTTGCTTGCCCACGCCTCTGGAGTTGACTGTTACGAGTGATGATCAGAAAGTCCCTGTCTCCCCAGGCCAGGTCCCGCATCACTAATCAACCCTGGAGCCCTGACCTGGGAGAAGCTTGGGGAAAGAAGAGGATGGAAGGACCCAAAGGAAGAGCCCCTCGCTCAGCAAAGCCAGAGTCCTGGTGTTCTGCCTTAGCAGGCCCCGAGGCCCAGGTCCTCAGGATGAAGGGCCCAGTACTCAAGGCAGGGGTCTGGGCAAACATTGGTCTACAGAGAACTTACTATTTGTCAAGTACTCCACCAAGAGCTTTATGAGCAATGCCTCCTTTAATTCCCACAGTAACCCCAGGGAAAAGTACAATTACAGTACTTAATCCATTCTAAAATGCATTGTTAACACATTTAACCATTTCTGACACCAAAGATAAGAAAGCATGGCATCGCCCTAACCGGTTTGGCTCAGTGGATAGAGCGTCGGCCTGCGGACTCAAGGGTCCAGGTTCGATTCCGGTCAAGGGCATGTACCTTGGTTGCGGGCACATACCCAGTGGGGAGTGTGCAGGAGGCAGCTGATCGATGTTTCTCTCTCATCAATGTTTATAACTCTCTATCCCTCTCCCTTTCTCTCTGTAAAAAATCAATAAAATATATTTTTTTCAAAAAAGGAAAGAAAGCATGACATCATACTTGATGGGCAGCATTTATTTTCATCCTTAGAGGTAAACAAAATAATGGTGCGTTTTATAATCAAAGGCCATTTCAGGTAAATGGAAAATGGGATTATTTGTCTTATAGTCAAGGAGGCCGGGGGAGACAGGTTAAGCAGGTCGCCCAAGGTCACCTGCGAGTGCACTGTGGCACCCTGCCTGGATCCAGATGACGCCAGGCCTCAGCTTTCCCCGAAAGCTGGCCCTGCTGGAGCCTCAGCCCACAGACCCGATCACTCAGCCAAACCCAGCTCTTGCCCGTGCCCAAAGCGACCTAGATTAAAAGACACTGCTCGCTTGGGCAGCACATATACTAACATTGGAACGATACGGAGAAGATTAGCATGGCCCCTGCCCAAGGATGAGATGCAAATTCGTAAAGCGTTCCATATTTTTTTAAAAAGAAAGAAACTCTATGGTTCCTGAATTCTAAAAATTTAAAACCAAAACCACCCTATTGTTTATGTGATCTACTAGGCATGGAGCACTTACCAGTAGCGCCCCCCCCCCCCACCCCCCAGCACAATGCCCAGCTCTCTGCAGAACTCTCATTCACTCCTCCCCAAAACACAGATGTGATCACTGGTTACATGACAGAGTAAGAAAGCACGCTTCTCTTCTAAATATGTATCAGAGGAATGCGGAGCCTGTAAAAATAACTAGAACGTAAGTTTGTGTAAAATATTGTTTTCCTTCCCCCACCTCTACTGCAACAACTTTTAACCAATTTTGACTTTAGCTCTCCCAGTAAATGCCTCCTGAACTGCAAGCAATTGGGTCATACTCTTCTCCCTGGGTTTAACAATCAAAGATAATATCTTCCCACTATGGAAGATCAGAAATTGGTTTACTTACCTTATTGCCTTTTCCTTCTCAAATTCTAATATTTATAGTTACTAATTCTTGATTGGCAATTTTGATACTTAAAAAAAAATGGATACTTAGTGGCTAGCAGTGGCTGAGAAAGGGGATGGGGGGCAGCTATTGCTTAGCGGGCACAGTTTCAGTTTGCGATGATGAAAACGTTCTGCAATGACAGTGGAGAGGGGAGCACAGCAATGTGAATGTGCTTAATGTCACCGAACTGTACACTTCAAATGATTAAATTCAATGAAATGTATGTTTTATATATATTAGCACAATAAGAATACTAAAATTCAAGTTCACCAATTTTCTTTTACGTATACTTAATAAGGTAGGTATAGTGATTCCCATCCTACAGAGGTTACACAACTTGGGAATGTCACACAGCTAAGGATGGCAGATTTGAAAGGAAGTTTTCTCTGGCTCTGCAACTCCAGGGGCTCCCCCAGTCCGAGCTCCTGCCCTCCTGCTGAGCAGAGAATGTGTCCCTCATTTGTTCAGCCAGATGTTTTCTCCAGAGCCCACTTAGTCCCAGCGCTGTCTCGGGTCCTGGGAGCCTGTAGCAGAGGATGCACAGGCTGGGCGTTCCTACGCTCTGCCCAAGCTCACCTTAAACAGAGCACGCACCTCCTGGTCCTCGTTCTCCAGCGCCCAGAGCCGCCTCCTGGCTGCTTCCTGCAGGGGGCCATTTACACACCTCCTGGAGCGGCTCTTCACACTGAAGGAGAGTGTCAGGTCTGAAAGAGAACAGGGAGCCCGATGAGGTCGGGAATGCAAAGGGAGGAAAGAACTAGATAAGCACCAGTGTTTCCCTCATCTAAACCCTACAGGGCTGCCCTCATTACTCAGAGGTTACGGGTGATCCTAACGATGCTCGGAGCACCTCCTTGAAACTGTCCCCCAGAAAGAAATGCTGAGGTCCGGATGCCCGGGAATCCCGGGACTTGGTGCGCTTGGGTTGGTTATTTCTGCTGTGAGCCAGGTTATTCCTACGCTGCCTGGCACTGAGGTGACAATGCCAAGACTGTCACTGAACGTTCACCAAGCACATCAAGCATTTGCTAGAGAACCAGCGAGGACATATACTTCCACCTGCAGATAACCTGTGAAAGTTTCTAACTATTTGTGTATTTAGAAAAATGCATTCGTATGTCACATTTATGGGTTATAATAGATATGATATACTTTACACATTTTACATACACACATACGTTGTCTCTAACCTGTCTCTTTCTGATAAGCATTTATTAATGTTTTTGGGTAATTGGTTGATTATTACAATCTATCTTTAATTTCTCAAATGGCACATTGAATACTGTGAGCAGACGCTGTTTTAAGTGCTGGACACAGAGGGAAACCTAGTGGCATGGGCCCTGTAGGGGCCCTTGGAGGTGGGGTGTGCCTTTGGGCAGCGTTGTCAGGAAAGGCCACACTCAGGAGGTTCATCTTAGAACCGCACTTTGCCAGGTGTCTTCTTTAGAGAATCAGTAGCAAGGCCATTAATAATCATCAAACACAATAAACCCAGAAGGTGCTGGACTGGATAATCACAGAAGTCTCCCTTCCAGCCCAAACTTGCCAGGACCTCGGCAATTCCCGAGCACATTAGAGATGGCCCCTATCACACAGGCCTGGGTCCACAGGGCAGTCCTGGGCCCCAACCGTGGAGAGGCCTGTCTTTAACCCAGAAGTCCTGAATGTGCTGTGGCTATAGACCAGCTCCAGCATGACATGCGCAACTGACCTGGCATTGGCGTGAACTTCAGTTGGATGATTGTTGCCTCCCGTTCCTCCCTGGCCTGTGTTCTAATCTCATCCAAGCCCTGCATCGTCGGCAGTCCAGGTCCACCCTCTGGCGGGCAGCCCCTCTGCACACGGATCTCTAGGAGGAGGGGATGTCCGGGGGGAGGAGTCACACAGACCTGGGCTCAAGGCTTGGCCCTGCCCTTGCTAACTGCACCACCTGAGCAGTTAATTACTTCCCTATGCTTGACTTGTCTCATTAGCAAAATGGCTGTTAGAGTACCTGTCCCACAGGGGTTTGCAGAGGCTTACTAAACAAGATAATGCACATAGAAGCTTTGTCTGGTGCCTGGTACATTCTAAATGTTCACAAACACATTAAGCATTAGCTGTTGCCCCTCACAAATCCTCACGCCCACCCCAGTACTCCAGCAATCACTGCTCTCACTGCCCTCAACTGTCACACCTATATTTAACCTTGACTCTGAGTCTCTGATTCCTTTTCACCAAACTTGTCTGTTCTTGCAAAACCTAATCCAAACTCCCCTCTGGAATCTCTCTGGTAATGGCTCCTAGTGACTGACAGCCCCCCTCTATATAAATCCCTTTGCCACGCATGCCCATGCATCCCTGGATATGAAACTCAAAAGACCAGGATGTAAATAAGCAAACTGCTTTTGAGATCTCAGCCAGTGAGAGCTAATGTTCGGAGCGGAGCCTCTGGGCCCACTGCAGGATCCTGCAGTGCCCTCTGCGTCACCAGACAGGGCGAAGTCAAGTCCACTCTAGTTCACGGCGAAGTGCATTTTGTCATATTTCTGTCTGGCCTTTTAATCATAATCATGTATCTGATTGATTCTGTCTGCAACTCTTCCTTATAAAGGAGAGGTTGGCAGCGGGAGCCGAGGCCCCCCTTCTCTCCCGTGACCTTCCTAGAAGCAGCGCCCTGGCAGAAAACACTGAAAAAGGAACAAGTTCAGCCTCGGTTGACTAAGTTTCACCTACACATACCCCTTGTTCACTGGCCTTGGCCTTTGGGCACAGATAAGGCAAAATGCTGACTCCATTGTGTTCATGAAACAGCAGATGGGGATGCAGCTTTTGGCGGGCATGGCCCCAGCTGACAGGCAGATGAGCAGATTGACACAAAAGAAGGAAGTGAAGGGTAAGGTTTTGCTTATTGCCAACCAAGCAGTTTGACAGAATTTGGAATTAGGAAAAGAACAAACCTGGTAAGACACTTATACAATATCGATTTACATGATTTATCTCCTTCAGAAAGAACATTCATAATGTAAACCTTTTCCACAAACCTGTTGTCTGCTGGAGAGAAATACATGACTGGAGGGGCCGTGGAGCCCGTGGTTGTGAAAAAGGACCGGGTTTGAATGCCTTTCTCATCACCTATTAGTTGTGGCAGTGGGGAAGTCACCTCCCTCTCTGAGACTCTGTTTGCCACCTTCAGAATGGGGAGTGTGGCGCCACCTCCCCGAGGTGAGTGAGGCAGGATGGGCAGAACATATGAGGATCACTTAGCACACGCTTGGCACAAGGTTTGCCCTCAAAATGGCCCCTTTTACTACACGACAGAAACTGAGTCTTCTACAGGTTTATCCTCAGAGTCTTGGGTACAAGGGTCAGCCCAGGAGTCGCTCTCTGATGACAACTCTCCCTTTGCCAGCTTCCCTGAGGTCTCTTAAAGGGACCCTTGTGAGAGGCATGCATTGAGAATAAGATTTTTCTCACATTAAGTTCAAAATCTTTTTCTGCTTCTGAACAATTTATACAGATGCCCTTCTGATCAATCACCTCACACATTCAACCCTTTATTCACTTATTCATTTCGCTAACAAATATTTATTGAGAACCTGCAATGTAGAAGGTGTTGTCAGGTAGTATATAGAATACAAATATGACCACCACATATTTGTTCAACTATTTTTTTTAATATATTTTTTATTGATTAAGATATTACATATGTCCTTGTCCCCACGTTACCCTCTACCCGCCCCCCGCTCATGCCCTCACCCCCCCCCCCCCCGTTGTCCATGTCCATTGATTAGGCCTATATGCTTGCATATAAGTCCTTTGGTTGATCTTTCCCCCTTACCCCCACCCTCCCCTACCTTCCCTCCAAGTCCCGACAGTCCAATCAATGCCTCTCCGTCTCTGGATCAGTCCTTGTTCATCAGCTTATGTTGTTCATTATATTCCACAAATGAGTGAGATCATGTGGTATTTATCCGCTCTCCAGTTCCATCCATGCTATGGCAAATGGTAAGAGTTCCTTTTTCTTCTTCCTCTTCTTAAAGAATACCTTTCAGCATTTCATATAATTCTGGTTTGGTGGTGATGAACTCCTTTAGCTTTTTCTTATCCGTGAAGCTCTTTATCTGACCTTCTATTCTGAATGATAGCTTTGCTGGATAAAGTAATCTTGGTTGCAGGTTCTTGCTATTCATCACTTTGAATATTTCTTGCCACTCTCTTCTGGCCTGCATGGTTTCTGTTGAGAAATCAGCTGACAGTCGTATGGGTACTCCCTTGTAGGTAACTGACTGTCTTTCTCTTGCTGCTTTTAAGATTCTCTCTTTATCTTTTGCTCTTGGCATTTTAATTATGATGTGTCTTGGTGTGGTCCTCTTTGGATTCCTTTTGTTTGGGGTTCTCTGCGCTTCCTGGACTTGTAAGTCCATTTCTTTCACCAGGTAGGGGAAGTTTTCTGTCATTATTTCTTCAAAAAGGTTTTCAATATCTTGCCCTCTCTCTCCTTCTGGAACGCCTATAAT